AATAAGTGAGTACTGTATAATAATGTGGACGGGGGATACTCATTGCACATCTTTTCCTGATCAATTTACTTAAAAATTCAACTGACGGATATTAAACCAATGGGATCTAGAAAAATATAAGAGATCATTGACATTTTTGATAATCCCATGTTATCTATGAGGCAGATTTGAATAGTCAGGAGTCTTTAACGTATTCCAGTAAAAACCGATCACTATTTTAACATCGTAAGAATTAAATGTAGCTTTCATACGCGCCTGCTAAAACTATTTATATGCTTTCGCTCCCAAGAGACTGCGGGTCATGCGATGTTTATTTCACGATTATTATCATCTTAAATGAGTTTGTTCTAATAGATCTTTCTAATCTCGGCTGCTATAATTTGAAGAACTACCAAATTTTGGTCATCCATTAGCCTTTGTCTAAACTCTTTCATCGATTTAAACTCACAAATACAAACGTACACCGCTCTGCTCATTAGTCACGAATATTTCTAACCCCCTTGGTTGTTACAGGAGTAATAAATGAAAATTAAGATAATCAGTAATTATTCCTGGAACTTAGATTGAATAAAAGATCTATAGAAGTGAGGACCGCGTTTACACTTTTTGTGTATTAAAGGAACCGAAATTTGAACCAGAGGTAGGAATTTTAGTTAATTCAAATATTTCATTAGATCGACGAACGGCTTTAATAAAATATCGTTTTTTTCGATTTTTCTGTCGATTTCTATGTTCAAATAACTTTATTCAAACAAATGGCATAAATGTACCTTTCGATTTCTAAAATTCAAAAAATAACCTCAATTGGTTAAGAAGTCATCAGAGGAATCCGATGAACTACTTACGGCTACTGCTCTGGGATTACATTCAAACTACCCACTATTTTATTAATTAACTTTTTCCTTACCATTTCTTTTCTCCACGCCTGTGTGTTGGTCTTAAAAGGGCAGGAAATATATCAATTATTGATTTGCGCTCGCACGTCCCAGTAGCGAGTTCGCAAATATGCTGGTATGACTTTCTTATTGTGGGGTGCGCAATAGACTTACCTCCACGTGGTGCACCCTGGGCGACGTATACTCATACTGTATAAAGTCTATTAACTGGCAGTTGACCTCTGACTTCAAACTACCATGACCCCACTGTATGTCATATTCGACTCCTTCCACATTACTCATCTTGCCTTTGTGTCTGTCTGTCTTTTACATCTGTGAATCGCTCTTCTTTTCCCCTGTCGAATTTTTCTCACTTTAATGTTCCTCCCTTCTGTGATAACTATCAAAATGCCTGCTATTTGAAATAAATAAATAAATACTCTAACCAATTCCTTTTCCTAATTACCGCGAGTTTTCAAAATGAAAATGAGATGAGTTAGTGTGAATTTTAGAACCATTATTTTTTTTCGATAATGATGCACATTTAACTTTCCTTGTGGCCGCATCTGATTTCAAGTATCCCTGCCCAAATTCACTATCTTTACACTAACCTAGAGAGGTAATTGAGTTAATCTATTCCTCAGTGGATTGGAGGTGAATGGATCATTTTTTTTCTCCATGTCCCGGAATTTCACTTCAATTGGATTTCTCCAGTAACATATATGAATCTAGTAATATTTCTATAGAATAATTTTGTATAAATGATTTTAGCAATTTTTCGCTACGCGCCTAAGAAATGTCTAGAGGGCTTAGATCTTCGATGCAATGCCTACTTGGCACACCTAGTTTATTTTTGCAGATAACCTGTCCTAGCTTAAAGAATGGTCACACATATTTAGCTTGGTTTTATTTCCCTTTTAACTGTGGACTAACTCACAGCCATTTCCGCCAAGCAGGCTATGACCTTGCCGAGGGTGGTGAGGGAACGATTGATATTTGCACCCTCCTTCAGACGTGCTCCTGTGGCCCCTGTGGCGTCTGCTCTCTCACTGCCTGCCAAGTCGACTAGACTGATTTTGCTCACCTGAAAGGTAAAGAAAAAGACGGCATTGGCATAACTCATTAGATTCATTCGACTTTCCGATTTCCAAACGTATTTACAGCGATGTTGTTTACATCGACTAAGCTGATACATATTGCTGTGCTTAGAAGTAGCGAATCGCATTTTCGAAAATTTAAAGCTTTCAACTATGGAGATGCCAACTCAATGTAGCTTGGTTCTCAATGCAATGTTTAAAAGGTCGACTATTGGCAACTGGATCTAAATTTGTCTTTTACGGAACGACCAGTAGATAAGGCTAGTTAATGGAACATGGCATTCAACAAACAAAGTATCGGAAAGAATGAATGGTCGAGAGGAAGCGACTTTTATTCCACAATGGTGACCTTTAGTAGGCTACCATCGGTGATCAGGGTCAATGAACAAGATACTGGCTGACATCATCATTTGGACTAATCGCAAACCCATGTGTTGATAATCATTTATCAACAATTTTGCCCTTCTCAGTTTCCATACTGTGCATAATAGTATTCTACAAGGTCGTTATAATACTTGGAGCTGTTATTGTTGTGAAAACCTGTCTACGGTTGACGTACAACCTCAGTTACTTCATGACACTTTAAGTAATTGAGCGAAGTCATTTTTACTTGGACACAGGCCATCATCAACTGATAGCGGTTTATACCTTGAATAGTCGTCAAGCTGACAAGAAATTCGTGTGCCCATGTATCGAAAATGATGATGGTTGATTTGGAAACAATCTGCAGTACTTAATTATTCTAAGACAAAACGACTACTCGCCAGCTTTTAGCTTTGTTTGTCTGCTTTATCCAACGGATAAAGCTCCATTTCGGAAATGGAAAGGAAGTGATCCGAATACTCATTATCTGACGCTTCCATCGCCAGTTGGTCAACCTCTGCGTACTGGACACTGGAATCCATTGCAACAAGGAACGATGATGGCTGGTTTTAATACGGAAATAAAATGCTCCATTTTCCTTAACTTGGATGTAAAATGCTTCTCGATCATCTAAATAATGAGTGTTTTCTCATACATTCAACTTATTGTTTTCCTCACAAAAATAACGTTTAATGTATTTTAGGTGGTTAATTAAAAAGGTTAGCTTAACAATCTCCTTATCATTTTCACTC